TGTTCTCCACAAACCATTGCTCATACATTACTCTCATGGTTTCTCCTTCCATGAAATGATAGTTATAGCTGTTATACCATGGAGAATGCAACAAAACAATCAACCAAGGAGTCTCAGTCCTGTTGACTTTTGGGAACTCTGCTTCAAGCCATTGGTATTGAGGAGTGTATTTACCTGGGAAGAAAAGCAGAAAAGAATGATGAAAGAGGAATTATATTGTGTGGTAGTACATACATGCATACATACATACATACATATGTATATTGTTTCATAAACCCTTACCATATGCTGAATATGAAGATAAGACTATGATATATGCTGAAGCTCTCTTTATTGAGTACCAAAGAGGAGAAGTACTTTCTGATGCCCGATAAGGTGTACGATAACGATGAGTAAATGGCTTAAATGGCTTGTTTTCACCCTGCAACAAATTTAAAGTTCATTTCTTCCGGTTACTTTCTGGTCAGTTGGAAGATATTTGCAAAAACAACAGATAAGAAGATCAGCCCATAGAAGCAAGCTCATATATCTTTCTTATAAACATATATTTTTAGCAAGTGAATTGAGCATTCTTCCAAACAGGAGGAAAACAAAACAAATGAGTACTTAGGAGTGAAATTTAGTTCTGATATCTAGATAAAAATAACGGAGTGTTTCTCTTTTTTACATAATTCACCCAATAAGAAAATAACTAGTATGAAACGTATCCAGATCAAAAGCAGAACCAAATTTCCCGAGCAACAGGACATGGAGCAAATCTCAGCTAACAATTAAACAAAATTGCAGGACGGATAATTCAACAATGAGCTGCAAACAACATGAATATGCCATAGAATCAACAAATCAAACCAAACTTTTCAACTAAACATCATATCAGATGCTTACAATTTCTGGGGCAAAGTCAAGTTCATGATTGCCTGCAGTCCATATCCATGGCTGATAAGCAGTACTTCTCTCAACAAACCGTCCCCATGAATCCCATCTATTGTTATCATGGTTTGGGTAGTTATCTGCATAAGAAAGATCTCCGACAAACAATACAGCTTGCCCTTTACGAGGGTTTAGCTCGTAATGAGTAAGCGTCCTGTTTGAATCAAAAGTCTGGCCAAGATCCCCTGCAAACAAAGCCCCATTGGCAGATATAAACTGTAAGCATACCAAACTAATCTGCATCACAAATACCTACTCAAGTTCGCATAAAAATCAAATGTTCATCAAACCAAAAAAACTCAGCTCTAGCACAATTAAACCGAGTGATCTTTAATATAGTATATAAATCCCTTAGTATTCCCCTCACGCAGATGATACAAAAATAAAAAAACAAACCATAAGGCCAAAACCAGCTCTATATTTTATTTAGATTCAAAACTACAACTAGAAGTAATTCTTGGTCAATATGAAATTAACATTTCCTAATAAGTATCAGCAGCTTTGACTCACCAATCAGACCAAATGTGTATGGGACATCAGGGCCAACTTCAGGAGGAGTGACAAACCAGAATGTGCGCCTAGTGTCTTTCCTTCCAATAGCATAGTAATACTTTGTGTTGAACTGTCCAAGAATTTGACCAAGAAAAACCAATCATAAAATGCATTTTACTCCCACAGTTCAACTTTCCAAATAAAGTATATATATAGATGCTTCATAGCAGAATAAAGTGTTTGAGCTTAAAGCACCACTTTCACCTTAAACAGTACAAGACTGAAGATTAAATAAACAGATCAGAAGAATGTAATTTTGTTCACCTCCAAATTTCTAATGGTGCAATGGTGAATGTAACCAGAAGCATAGTTGTAGTACTTGTAAGTATTAACTCTGCCTTCAGCTTTCAATACCGTCTTGCTATTTTCTTTCCAATAGAGCACTGTGTTTGAGCCTGGTGCATCCGGAGTCACCCATGATACAATCACTGCTTTTCCCACATGGTCTCCTTGTGTTATATGAACCTTTTAATTCCAAAAACACCCAAGTAAAATGAAGACCAAATTAGACCCATATATGTGTATATATCTATATATATGAATGGAAAAAACTACCATGAGCCCCTGGGATCTAATTTTAAAAGACTGCCACAAAATGGGAAAAAGCTAAAAAGGATCCTTTGTAGTTTAACTTGCCGGATGATGCGAAAGAGGAAACATCAGATTGCTTTTCTAAGAAAACATGTATATACATATAAAATACATATTATATATATGCAATTATAATCTCCTGACCCCTGTGCGTAAACGGGTACCTAATACCCCACACAGACAGAAAAGGACCCGGAAGAAAAAGATCTATGAAAATGGCCATTGACGACTCAACCAATCACGGAAGAATCCATTAACAGATGATTCAAAATCATTGAAAGAAAAAGAAAAGGGAGAACATGGAGATAGCCAATATCACAAGCAGTAAAACGGCGTAGTTCTGATTGATGCCCGAGAAGAGTAAATAAAATTTTCAAATGACAGCCAAACAGAAACCTGTTCAGGAGCATTATGGCCCGGAGGTAAACGGAAGACGTCACTATCGAGAGGCATATCGATTGTCTTCTCCGTCTTCCTCACAAAAGTG